GAGGCCGAGGCGGGCAGATTGCTCAAGGTCAGGAGTTCGAAACCAGCCTGAGCGAGGCCCCGTCTGTACCAAAAATAGAAAGAAATTAATTGACCAACTAAAAATATATATACAAAAAAAAATTAGCCGGGCATGGTGGCGCATACCTGTAGTCCCAGCTACTCGGGAGGCTGAGGCAGAAGGATCGCTGAGCCCCGGAGATTGAGGTTGCTGTGAGCCAGGCTGACGCCATGGCACTCACTCTAGCCTGGGCAACAAAGTGAGACTCTGTCTCAAAAAAAACAAAAATCATTTTGGCAGCAGACCCCTCTCTTCAGATGAAATCGTCCACGCAGCAGGACGAACAGCAGATGCAGCGGGGTGCCCCGGTCTCCAGGGTGGGGTGTGCCCGTGCCAGGGTGCTGGGAGGGGATACTGGAACTCCCGTTTATGTTGAAGCTGTGCACGCCGTCGGTGGTGTGTGAGAACGTGCAACAGGTGTACGGCTGTAAGTAGACGTACGTACCTCGGGGAGCTCAAACCGTTTTGACTACCGGTGAGTTTCCAACACACCAGGTGCAGGGCTGGGCGTGCCCAGTGGGTGCAAAGCAAATGCAACGAGCGCAGGCTGGGGGCTCCTGAAGTCGGCAGGGCCTGGGGGTGGGGTGGAGACGGTGAGCTGAACAGGGAAACTGAGACACGAAAAGAACCCACCCGGGCCTCTGTTTCACCTGGTCCAAGTCCATGGTGAAATTCTTCTCTCTTACAGATTTCTGTTCTTCTTTTTTCTCTCTGTCTTATTCTGCATTACTCTTTTAAAATCTCTGTCAGTGTTTGCTTCAAATTGAAGCAAACAAATTTAGGGTTTGGGAGGTGTCGGGTTTCTGTTTTTAAACACAAATGCATACTATACATAGAATTTTTTTTTTTTTTTTTTGAGGCAGAGTCTCACTCTGTCGCCCAGGCTAGAGTGCCTGGCGTCAGCCTAGCTCCCAGCAACCTCATACTCCTGGGCTCAAGCAATCCTCCTGCCTCAGCCTCCTGAGTAGCTGGGACTACAGGTATGCGCCACTGTGCCCAGCTAATTTTGTCTATGTAGTTTTAGTTGGCCAATGAATTTCTTTCTATTTTTTTTTTTTAGTAGCGATGGGGTCTTGCTCTTGCTTAGGCTGGTCTTGAACTCCTGACCTTGAGTGATCTGTCCACCTTGGCCTTCCAGAGTGCTAGAATTCTTTAACTTTTGTATTTTTCAATAACAAGGTCTTGGAGATCTTTTCTTAACATTTTTGTGGATTTACCAGGGTTTGTACCAGTTAAATATCTAAAATTCAGTAAATGATGGTTTGTCTGCACATTCCTCAATCGATTCTGTGTATTTTTAACTTTTACCTATCTGATAAGTGAAAGTAGTAACTTAATTTTGTTAGGATTTCTTAAATTCTGAGTAAGAGTGGATATATTTTTACCTGATTAATGACTGTTATTTCTTATTCTAAGAACAGCCTGTCTTGGCTCATTTTTTCAGGCTGTTATTTTTTCCTTAATAACTTATGGCAGCCTTTTGAGGACAATTAAAATATAATAGCTCTTGGCCGGGTGCCGTGGCTCACACCTGTAGTCCTAGCACTCTGGGAGGCCGAGGTGGGTGGATCACTCAAGGTCAGGAGTTCATAGACCAGCCTGAGCAAGAGTGAGACCCCGTCTCTACTAAAAATAGAAAGAAATTAATTGGCTAACTAAAAATATATAGAAAAAAATTAGCCAGGCATGGTGGTGGTGCATGCCTGTAGTCCCAGCTACTCGGGAGGCTGAGGCAGGAGGATTGCTTGAGCCCAAGAGTTTGAGGTTGCTGTGAGCTAGGCTGACGCCACGGCACTCTAGACCGAGCAACAGAGTGAGACTCTGTCTCAAAAAATAAATAAATAAATAAAAGAAAATATAATAGCTCTTCCTATAGGTATTGCAAATTTGAGTTTCTATTTATTAATATGTTTTGAATTTGCTCATGGTACTTTCTCTCTACAAATATTAGATGTAATATAATTTATTGATATTTTTCCTTATGATTTTGGTTTTATCACATGCTTATAAAAACTAAGCTCACTTGAAGATTACTTTTAAAAAGTCATATTGAATCCACCTGAAGTGAATCTTGGTATACAGTTATGGTAGAAATTGAGGCTAATGAGTTGAACTGTGGCACATGGTAAATACTCAGTAAGTGTTTCTTTTGTACCATTATTGTTATTGTTGTAAAAATCTTGTAATCAATTCCCATGTGTGTTAGGGTCTGTACTCCATGTGTATTTCTGGACTTTTTGCGGTTTTTAAACTACTTACTTCTACATCATTATTATTCTTCTATCATAGTTTTATATTTTAATACCACAATTACTCTTACATTTTTTATTAACTTTTAATTATTTTATATGGGTCAGACAAAATTCATTATTATTTGACTCTCATCTCACTGAATGTATATAGATCAATTCACAGAGAACCTACATCTTATAGGATTTAGTCTTCCTATCCAAGGATAAGCTACCTTATTCATGTCTTTTCTTTTTCTTTTTGAGACAGAGTCTCACTCTGTTGCTCAGACTAGAGTGCCGTGGCATCAGCCTAGCTCACAGCAACCTCCAACTCCTGGGCTCAAGAGATCCTCCTACTTCAGCCTCCCAACAGGCATGCACCACCGTGCCTGGCTAATTTTTTCTATATATATTTTTCGTTGTCCAGCTAATTTTCTATTTTTTTTTTAATAGAGACGGGGTCTCACTCTTGCTCAGGCTGGTCTCAAACTCCTGAGCTCAAGTGATCCACCCGCCTCGGCCTCCCAGAGTGCTAGGATTTTAGGCGTGAGCCACCTCACCCAGGCTATTCATGTCTTCTTACTATCTCTCAGGAGAGTTTAACGTTTTCTTGATATAGGTCCTGCACATTTCTTCCCCTTTTAAATAGACTTTATTTTTTTAGAGCAGTTTTAGGTTCACAGTGAAATTGAGTGGAGGCTGCAGAGTTCCCATGTGCCCCTCCTGCCCCCCCCCCCAACAGTGCGGCTGTCACAGCGGTGAGTCCACACTGACACCTCGTCACCAAGTCCACGGCTGCCTTGGGCTCCCTCCTTCTTAGACCTGCACATCCCGGGGTTGGACAAATGTGCGGTGACCTGTAGCCACCACTGTTGTGTTGTGCAGTCACTTTACCGCCCTAAAAACACAGTCGTTTTTTAGTTTATTTCTGGCTGGTTTGTTAGTGTTGGTGGGATCTTTTCCTCCTCCGTGTTTTCCGACTGGCTGTTATGTATACGTAGGAAACTTGTTATTTTTACCTACATGTTTTATGGTCCCTTTGCTGACTGCCCTAAGTGTCCTGACAGGGCCTGTGCATCGTCTGCAGACGATCCCAGCTTGCCTGTGCCGCGCCAGCACCTGGCCCTTTCTAGTTCGTTGTTTCCCTGGCCGGATCTTGCCCCACTTGGCCGGGACCCCCGACCTCCCCACCTTCGTCTACCCGTTCCTGCAGGGCCCAGAGCTGCCGGGGTGCCCGGGGTCAGCCACAGACGCCGCCTGCCGCGCTCCGGCTCCGTGACCTCCGTGCTGCTGTCTGGTGTCTTGGGGTGACCTGGAGTCCACCCAGATGCTGCCCACGGGTGTGCGTGAGCGTTGCGTGCGCCTGTGTCTGGGCACACACACACACACACGCGTGCGTATAACAGAGTCACGGCATGACCCATCCGTGCGCCGGCGGCTTGTGCCTGTATTCCAGCCCCACCCCCTTCCTCCCAGTGACGACCCTGAGAACAGGCAGCTCCGGGACGCAGTCGAGCATCCCAGAAACCTGTATTTTCTCGGAGCTGCCGGGGGGAGACCCCACCCTGGAGCTGGCAGAGCCCCACCCCCCGGCTTCCCCTCAATGGTCAGGGGCTCCCTTTGGGCTACTATCATGGGATTACTTCTGTCCCCAGCTCTCGCCGACCTGCTCTTGGTCCGTGTGACTCGTGTGGGAGGAGGTAAAGGTGGGGCTCGTGGTGAGGTTCCCAGCAGGCGCACACGTGGCAACCCCGTAGAACCGCCCTCGTCCCACTGAGACGGCCGTCCGGGCAGGTGCAGGTGCGTGTCCTGGGGAGCCATCGCCATCATTGCCTCGCTCTTCTCAAGGACGCCCGTCCCCTCTCCAAGGTGCCTCGGACAGGCAGACAGAGCAGATTCCTATCTCGCGCGGCCCCTCCCTCCCCGTGCGGGGCAGAGGGCACTGCCGCCGCCGTCTGGTTGTCAGCAGACCTTCGCGGTGTCAGCCGTCAGCAGGATGGACTCGCAGGCTATTGATTTAATGACAGCTGCTCCTGCTCGGGGTCGAGCTAATGTTTTCATTACACTAAACACGCCTTAACAAGTTCATCCGGAATCAGGCGACGGCAAAGATCTGCTGGGTTCCCAGTGTGCTCCCTGCAGGAGGGCGGCTTTTCGGAGACCCTCCGGGGTTGAGAGCTGCCCCAGGACACGGCGGCGTGGCCAGAGGGCCTCAGAGCTGGGTGCCCAGCCCGGCCCCTGCTTCGCCGGGGCTCCTGACTTCCAGATAGGCGGCTGCCCATCGTGGCCCAGGCTCCTTCCGCTTCCCAGAGCTCTGCCTCCTCGGGCCGGCGGCCCTCGGCCTTCCCCCCTGAAAGTCCGGGCCTCCTTGTCCATCCGTCCACTGGGAGCGCGGCTGTTTTCTACCTGGTTTCGGTGCCTCTTCCTGTCTGAGGTTTCGCACTGCTGTGCGGACCCCTTTGTGCCGGGGGGCCTGGGAAGAATCACGACAACTCTCCCTGCCTGGTTCCCCGTGTGTAAAGAACGCACGATGCTGCTCACGCACCGGAAGCTGGTGAGGGAGGCACGTGGAGCCCCCGGGCGCACCTGCCACCTGGGCTCCGGCGTGCTGCGCGGCTACCGGGGCCTCTCTGTGCCGTCTGAGCCGCACTGGGCTGGCTGCACCGGGCTGCAGCCCCCGTCCCCCCGCCCCCCGCCCCAGGCGGCCTCCGGACTTTCAGCCGACGCCTGGCCTGATGCAGGGTCTGACGTGTCCCCCTCAGTATCATACGCTGAAATCCTAACTGCTAAGGTGATGGGGTCATGAGTGTGGAGCCCTGTGAGTGCAATCAGTGCCCTTATAAAAGGGACCCCAGAGGGACCCCTGGCCCCTTCCACCAGAGGAGGACACAGGCAGAAGGCAGCATCTAGGAACCAGAAACAGGCCTTCCCAGACGCCTGGGAAGTGCCTCCAGCACTGTTATGAGCCACCCGGTCTGCAGTTCTTTGTCAGAGCAGCCTGGAGGGACTCAGTTACTGGCCCTGTTCTGAGCTGGTAGCCACTTAGTGCCCCTGTGACCACGTGTCCCATTGGCCCAAACAGGCCTGGCGGGTCCCTGTCCGGGGCCTGGTGTGCCTGAGGGACCCTCCCTGTCTCCTGTCGTGGGTCCCTTCAGTGGGCTGGGCTGAAAATCAGACCCCAGGGGCCACCTGCCAGCTCCGTGTCACGTGAACTCTGAGTCACATGGTTTGTTGGTTTCTGCTTCTGTCTCTCGGGATAGTGGTTCAAATCTTTTTTTTTTTTTCATGCAACAGGTGCAGTTCATGTGCATCTCAGAGCAGGCTAGGCCCTGCAGTGGTAGTAGACGTTAACGTCCTCTAAAAGCACAGTTTCTCGTGCACTAGTGCCGTGCGCCCACTGTGGGTGCCGAGCTCTGTCCGTGCCCACTCTCTCGCTGGTGGCACTGTGAGTGTCTTGGGCTGTCGGGCAGCGGAGAGAGCGCCGGAGAGCCTCGGCCAGCGTGCAGGTGCTTCGGCACAGGGGTGGCCCCCAACTTTTCCACTCACAACCCACTGGGCTGGGCCCACCCCCGGTGGAACCAGAGGGGGCCCTTCCCGGCACCTGGGGGTGAAGACCTGGAACTGTCTGCTGAATGACGACTGTCGCTGCCTCAGCAAGACTCACATGTCTAAGGACGTGCCCAGGTCTAGGCACAAGCCCCAGATGCCCAGTGTGATTACGTGACATTGGACATCAGTGAAGACCCGCCTCATTTACTGAAAGGAAATGAAATCATCCGGGTGGCTTTCTGCACGCACCTGTTCCCAGTGCTGCCGAACAGGCTGGATCTGCAACTGAAAAACAAGGAATGAAAGCAGAAACCAAACACTCAGCTCGACCCTCCAGCCTGGAAGTTCTACATTCTTAACTGATTGGGACATCTGTTTCCAAGAGAGTTCTTTCCAAATGTGACCAGTAAAAAGTCTGTGAGATTATGGGGCAGTGCTGAGAGAACTGCATACACCAATTCCCGTTTATGGTCTTACTTTCTCAATCCTCAATCCCCACTCACTCTTTTTGTCTTCAGTGCTGTCTCAGTTGGCTATCGCTGCGTAACAAGCAGCTGCAAAAAATCCCAGTGACATTTGTCTCTCGAGTCTGCCAGCTGCCAGGGTGCTCCGAGGTCTGGACGGGGCTCAGTGGGGCAGCTCTGTGCTGTCGATGGGCCCAGCTAGGTCCCACGTGTGCCTTGTCTTCCTCTGCCCAGGAGACCAGCGGGGGCATGTTCTTCTCATGGCAATGATGAGGTGCAAGAGGACAGGTGGAGGTCTGTGACATCCCCAAGGTCTGGGCTCAGAGCTGCCAAATAGTCACTTCCACCATGTTCCATTGGCGAGTCGTACAGCCGAGCCCAACATCGGGACAGGCTGGAAAGAGCTGCAGATTCACATAGCAAAGGGCTTGAGACAGGTGAAAACTTAGGGACCACCCGCACAATAACCCAATATGCTGTGCTGCTCATCTCCCTCTGACTGTCCTGCATAACCAACTGTACTAGGAATGTCCTCCCAAGTCCAGCTATCAGCCTCATCGTCCTCTGACAGTTAGACCAGGGGTTCTCCGAGTGAGGGTGGTGGTCTTCCTGGGCCGTGCATCCCTCCCCCAGGAACTCCGGGAACACCCTCTCCGAGTAGAACAATGTCCTGCTGTGTGTGCAGTTGCCACATCCCTACGTCCGGGCCGGGCTGGCTTTCTGATCTGAGAAGCTCCACTGTGGGTACCAACTTGGGTGCAGATGCCACCAGTGATGGTGGCAGTGCTTTGTGGGGGCTCCTTCCCATACCTAGCATGTGAGCCATCCACAACACGCCTGCTTGTCTCAGATTCAGGTCAGCACTCAGAAGCCCAAAGTTGGCATTTTAGAAATAGAGACATGATAGTGGTTATCGCCCTGGTTGAGAGAAAACCACCGCCCCTGCTCTGGCTGGTTTTCAGAGACGGCAGCTCTTGGTCTGAGCAGCCTGTTCCATGAGGGGCTGGGTGGGTCAGGGAGGCCAAAGGGCTTGAGCCCACGCCTGGCCGGCCCACCCCTCTCCCTCCCTCCCTCCCTCCCTCCCGGCTTCTCTCTCTCTCAGCTCCGAGTTACCTGCATTGGCCCATTTTCCAGCACGGTTGAGGTAGGCTTTGGGCCGTCTTGGGAGTTGGCTTATGCTGTGATTTTCGACCAGGAACGCACCTTTTAGTCAGTCTCTGTGGCCACGGGCTGCGGAGTCTGAGTGTCTTCAGCGATGTTCACGTAGGAGCCCACCAGGAGCTCCAGCGGGTTGTCCGAGCAGGCCCCGCCCTGCACACCTGGCTGCCCACCTGTGTGCCCGCCCCGGGACAGGTGACAGCACATGGCACTGTCAGAGAGTGGATGGGCCGTCCGCCTTCACCCTTCCACACATGGTCACTTTCCCCAGAGGAGATCGAGCCGATGCTTCTAAGAGGGGTTTACGTCGCGCCCTCCAAATGCCGGTTTTGTGAGGACGCGGCAGCCACCGTGCCCGGCACCGAGCGCATTAGCCGGCTTCGTGCTCGCCGGCTCCCCCTGCGGGGCCGGGGGCTTCCCTCTGGCAGGACTGCCGTGAGCAAGCGTGGCTGGAGCCGACTCCGGTGTCTCTGACACTGTGTCGGGAAGTCGTTTTCTTCCTGGGAGGAGCAGGTGCCCGCGTTCCCCGGAGCAGGTAAGATTCCTTGTGAGAGGCCTGAGGGCCCGGCGGTGGCACAGCCATTGACGGAGGCAGCTGGGCCCACCGTGTCAAGGATGAAGTCAGCTTCGGTGATTTCTCAATCAGCTTACGTGCGCGGGAGGCTCTTTCTGCAGCCGGACTTTGTTCAGTGGAAACGACGGCCCCGCGAGAGCCTGGGGGACCAGCGCGGGCTGATTTGGTTTCACAGCCACGCTCTGGACTGCGCTGGGAGGCGCGCCACCTGTCCCGGCAGGGCCCTGCTCAGGGGTCTCCGCGCGAACGTGAGCAGGCAGAACGAGGGCGGAGCTCTGGGACAGGCAGCTCTGCAGCCGTGGATGGCCTGGAGCGAGGCGCTTACCTGCCCAGGCCTCAGTTTTCCCCATCCATAAAACGGGCTGGATGACAGCAGCGTCATCTGCCCCGCAGAGAGTCTTCTTTGGACTTCACCACGGTGACATGTGCAGAGCGCTGGGCACCAGGCGAGCTCGCGGTCCCTCTCTGCGGAGGAAAGTTGTCCCTGCTGCATGTGGCCTCCTCCTCCCCTGCCAGGGTCACTGGAGGCTTGACTGCCCCTGTGTGTCTTTATCACATACTGGGGTGTTTTCACTGACAAGGACCCGAGGGACGGGAGCTGACAGGGAAATAGCTCTGCCGACGCCTCGTGGAGACAGGTGACTGATAAAACAGCCTGTTCTACACGTTTTCCAGACTTTTCTTGACATGACCAAACACTACAGAAGAGAAATGCACTGCTCAAGGAACGCAAAGTAAAAACTCTTAAAAATGTATCAAATGAGAACTACTGGAATAAAAGATTAACAAGTGAGATTTAAATGGCATGTTCTCGTTGGCTGGAGTCCTGGCTACCTGGAGGCTGACCAGAGACCCGTTTTCTGTAGGGACCAAAATCTCCCAGCTGTGCATTTGTGCACACTTCCCGCAGGTTGAATGGCAGCTGCTGACCATAATTACCTCTCGGTGACTAAAGACCATTATCCTGAACATCGAAGATGACTGAGTAAGACTGGTGGCAAACAGAATTACAGTGAAACTAAAATATTCCCTGGAAGACAAACACCACGGCCACCAAAGCCCTGTACTGTGGCTTCTTCCTAAAAGAACCCAGGAGCACCGCGCCTGCCGTCCGGGCTTGGAGGAGCCGGGTTTGCCTATTCAATTTCCAAACAGCATTTACACGCACGCTTCTCCACTGCCCACCCTCACCTCGGCCCCACACCCGGGGCGTCTGAAGGTGTCATCGCGAGCTCTTCCATGCACAGTGGCTCTGATTTTAGACCTGGAAAACATAATTTGGGTTAAAACTCGATGGGGAATCCCTCGTGCAGACGGGTTGCCATGGAGATGCGTGGGGGTGGTGGCCGGAGGAGCCTCCGGGTTGGTGTCTTTGCACCAGCTGGCCGGCCCCCTCCCCCCGGCACCTGCCCACCTGCCGCCTGCCTGACTCGCTGCCCAGTCCTCCGATCACCACGGCGTGGGCTGCGTCCCGGGCCTGGGCCAGGCGTGTCCTTGTTCACGCAACCCTCTTCTGCTCAGCTGAAGAGCCGCAAGTGCTACAGAGGCCGCTGGCCCCTCACAGCCCCCCGAGGGAACTGCTCCATGTGTTTCAGCCCAATGTCATAGTTTCATTTCCATGCGGGTGACCGGGTTGGGCCAGGCTGTGGGACGGGTCTGGCTGGTGACAGTGGGGAGGAGTCTGCCAGCAGCGCATGCTTACAGAGAAAAGATGACTCATCACGCCTCCAGATCCCGGATCTGCGGGTCTGGCGTTCAGGACCACGGACAGCGCCTCCCAGGTGCGCAAGGAGAGCCCAGAGCGGCGCCGCGGGCAACCTGTGGACTTGGGCGGATGGAAGTGAACCTCGATGCTCGTTGCCTGCCATGGGCCAACTCACGGCCCCCAAAATTCACGTCGAAGCCCTCCCTACCCCTGATGTAACTGTAGTGGAGATTGAGCCTGTGACCTTTAGAGAGGTCATTAAGGTAAAATGAGGTCATCAGGGTGGGCCACAATCCCATAGGACTGCTGTCCTTACAAGAAAGGGATTAGGACACAGACTCAGGAGGAGCCAGCCCAGCGACACCTGGGTGTTGGACTTCAGCCTACAGAGCCGTGACAAATAAACTGCCACCTAAGCCGCCAGCCCGGGGCGCTGGTTACGGCACCTGACAAACTAACACGGCATTGAAACCAATGCGCGCTCGGGAAGTGGCGTGGCGGGGCGAGGTGTCGGGGGTTCCTGCAGTTCAGTGAGAGATGCCCGTCCAGAGCCTGCCCACGCTCTCCTCACGCCCCGTCTCCAGCGGAGACACACGCCCGCCCACCCACAGGTGGCAAGATGCGTGGCATCCCCGTGGGGGGACTGAACTGGGAAGGAGCCTGTTTCTCCGACACAGTGCCGATAACTGGGCACGGGCTGCACTTTATCCACAGAGAAGTGGGAGGAGACGGGAGACAGGGGCCGACCAGCAATGTCTGCCCCACTGGCCCATGCGGTCCATCACCAGACGCTGATTTTGCTCCCAAAGAGCTCTTGCATTCTTCAGCTTCTCTGCATCTCTGTCCCACTACGGTGATCCGAGCCACAGCCCTCTCTTGCCTGGACTGTTGCAGTACCCCATCAGCCAGCTTACAGCACACTCCCTGGTCCCCTCTGGCCTGTTCTCTTGGTGGGCGGTAGCCTAAACAGTCTTTGAAAAAGGCAAATCTCATCAAGTCTCACCCTACTCAAAACACCGCAGCAGTCCCACTTGGCTCAGAATAAAGATGCACTCCCCGACCTCTGTAGCCTCTGCACGGAACACGCTCCTCCCTCTTTTCTCTCCAGGTGTCTGGGCTACTGTGTTTCTTGTCCCTCAAACTCACCTTGCACTTTTCCACTGCGGTGTTTGTGCAGACAGGGTTCCCCCTCCACCCCACTCTTCCCCTGGCGAACGCCTGCACATCCTTCAGTTCTTCCCTGTCGCGTTCTCAGGGGAGCTGCCCACGTTCTCGGACAAGGTCCAGCCGCCCTGCGGCTGTGTGGCCCTAACCCATCCCCGACTGGAGGCTGCAGACAGCAGCCCACTGTTTCTGGGGGGACCTCGGGGTGGCTGGTGCCTCCCACGGTGGCCCCTGCACCTTGCACGTCTCTTCTACCTCCTGTCCTGGGAGGGCAGGGCTCAGGCCCAGCCTGGGGCAGGTTGCAGGGGGAATAGAGTCCCTCCTCATAAGGAGAACGGCCAAACGCTGCAGTCTTGTTTCCAACCTGCCGCACGCCCCTCTGGGGCTCACAGCCGAGAGTTCCTTCTTTCTGGAGCTTGCAGGTACCACGCTTTCACCTGCAAGCCCACAGGTGACGTGGCTCCACACGCGGCCATAGCCCTGGCACGGGGCAGCGCCCGGGAGACAGCACTTAACAGTCTGCTGAATGACCGGATGACGCACAGGTTAACTCGAGAAGGAGGCGGTGCTGCAAATGAGGGTCACTTGGGAGGCTAAATTATCCGTCTTTTAAACCTCTGAAGCAGCTGCTGTGCACGGAGAGAAAAGTCAGGGACGTTAAGGTGCGCCTGCTTGATGGGGCATTATATGGCAATGTTGAGAATGGCAGTGACTATGCGCAAACAGGGACAATACGGCATCAAACTGAACAGGGAGCAATGAGGGGGAGGACGCATGAGTTTTTAGGAATGTGCTCCCGCCGCTCAGACAGCGTCCTGCGGCTCAGCCTCCCGGGCCCACGCCTCGCGTCTCCTGCTCGTCCCCGAGCGTCAGCCTTCTCTGAGGCCCGAGTTACCCCATGTTCCTGTGACTTCCCCACCCGCCTGTCACCCCCGGCTCTCTGGATGGGGTTACATCGTCCCCCCAGCGCTGTCCTTCCCCACCGCCGGCGCAGTGTCAGCTTGCGGTGAGGGAGCGAGTGAGGGTCCTGCGGCTGCTGTGACAAGTTGCCACAAACAGGGTGGCTTAAAATAACAGGAATTTATTATCTGACAGTTCTGGAGGCCGGAAGTCTGTAACCCAGGCGTGGGCGGGAGCTCGCTCCCCCTGCAACCTGGGGGGAAGGGTCTTCACCTGCCTCTCCCAGCCGGGTGGTGCCAGCGGTCCTGGGCACCTCGAGGCTGGCAGGCTCGGGCCACCCTGCTCCAGTGCCACCCTGTCTGCCAAGACCCGATTTGCAAATAAGGCCACATTCACAGGTACTGGGGGGGTTGGGACGTCAATACATCTTTTGGGGGACACGGTCAGCCATAACAGTAAGGCAGGGAGCCAGGCAAGAGGCCGCTGCTTCTGAGCATGGTGAAGCCGAAGTTGGATTCTGAAGTCCAGCTGCTGCCCGCACCTGCCTGGCTGCGCACTGTGTGTCCCTCGAGGGCCCCAATGTCCCTGAGGGAGGTGCCTCCTGGGTCCCGTAGGCCTGAGGGTGCCAGGCGGCTATGCACAGCCAGTGTCCCGTTACTCGGCTTTCTGAGCAGCTCAATCCTCAGCACCCTCCTCGCGCCGTTCAATGCCCCGCCACACTTTGGGACATCTAGTGACCAGACTGGAAGAAAGGCTGTGGCATCAGCCCTTTCCCACTCGCAGGTGCACGCGTGGCTTCTGGCGGGTGGGTCTCCCCTTCCTCGCTGTGGGCCCCACTTTCCTGCAAAGGAGCAGCAGGTGCACTGCGGCAGTGGGAGTCCCCGTAGCTGGAATGCCAGGCCAGTGCCTTGCTCATAGAAAGTGCTAGAGAACGGTTTGTTCTAGAAATGGGCCATGTGCTCTGAGGCAGCAGAGGAAGTGGCCCCTCCTTCCTCCTGGCTACCCAGTGGACCCTGCTCCAGCCAGTGCCGGGCAGGGGAGAGCCGCTGGCTGGGTCCCGTGTCTGGGTCCGGGCGGGGTACCACCAGTGCAGAGCAAAGCCCCTGGCTGCCAAAGACGGGCCCGGATCCCAGACCCAACCTGGGCCCAGCCCCAGAATTTTCAGCACTGGGCTGGGACTCACACCTCGGTGACTTCCTTGCACCAGGCTCATCACCGTGGGAGTGGCAGGTGCTCCCGTTTGCTGGTTCCTTAACCGCGAGTGAACGCAGCACTGGCGGCAGGTGCAGAGTCCGGGCCCTGGTTTGCAGCGTTCACCTGTGCCTGCTGCATGGACGCCTCCCCCACTGAGGATCCCGCCCCCGTGTGATGTCCCTCCCCGCTGACCTGGGAGGCCATGTGCACATGGGCTGCCCCTGCAGGCCCATTCGAGGTGGCACCTGAGCCACCGGGGGTCACCTGGACCTGCCTGGGCATCTGCTATCGTCTCGTTCCCGTTTCTAAACCCTCCTCCAAGAGAGGCAGAGGAGAGGGGCAGGCAGGGAGGCGGCGGCGTGGCGGAGGGTGGCGGGCCGGGGAGGGGCTTGCCCTCCGGCAGGCACGTGACCCGCCGGTGCCCCCACGAGGCCCGCCCCCCCGCCTGCTCTAATAACCTCGAAACTCCAGTGATTTACGTGAAGATTTCAGATTAACATTTAAATTAATGCCGGACTAGAAATCTGGAGCCAGGTCGCTGATGTGACTCTCTGTTAACTTGTTCTGTGACCTGGGGCGGAAATTTAAACTGTCTCTCCTTGCAGAGCCGCCCCTCCGCAGGGAGGTCGGGGGTGGCAGGCCCAGCCGGCGCCTTCCCACTCGGAAGGGGATTCCTCGGCCGAGTAGCCCTGTTTGACCGAGCCTGGCGTCCTGGCCCCGGGGCTGCCATGCCAGGCAGCTGGAAGCCCCTCGCCCCGCCCCCACCGCTGGCTTAGTCTGCAGAAGGTGCCAGGGGCCCTGGGGGTTGGGAGGGCAGGACCCTGCAGGGAAGCAAGGCAGGCCCAGTGACAGCCCCGCAGACCCCCAGAGTGGCTCCCACCCGCCCTCCCACATCTCTCCCGGTGATGGGTGAACACAGCCCCGAGGCCTGATGCTGCAAAGGCCTGCAGGGCACTCCGGCAGGGGCTCGAGTCCTCCCCAGGAACGGATCTGGGCCGTCCCCTCCCCCTCCACGGTGCCCGGGCCCTGGTGCTGCCTCCGAGTGCTGGGGGCACCTGGGGACGCGCCAGGGCTCGGCCGTCCACGCCAAAGCGCCTTTGCGTGGCCGCGTGGTGCTCCTGGGATGTGGGACTGAGATACAGGGAGCGGGGTGTGAGAACTCCCGGGCCGAGCCCACCCACGGGTCCCCTTTCGACTTTGGCCACCAGGGCCAGCCTCTGGGGACCCCGGAGAGCCAAGAACGCCCAGACCAGCCAGCAGCACAGGCAGCGTCAAGGCCAGGCAGGAGCTGGCCCGGGTCTGCAGGCACGAAGAGCAGAGGGACACTGGGCCCAAGCTTGTCACCAGGCCCGAGTTGGGGATTCCTAGCCAAGTCCAGAGGGGGCGGGCGGGGGACAGCTCGGCGCTCACAGCGTCCTCGCCCTATGACGGGGAGGGCTCAGAGCGAAGCAGGCTGGGTGACACTGCCCCACAGCAAACAGAGTTTGAGCCCAGCCTTTCCAGCACCAGGGACCGTTTTCATGGAAGACAGTTTTTCCATTAACTGGGGAGGGGGGATGGTTTCGAGACGATTTAGTGCATTACATTTGCTGTGCACTTTATTATTATTACATGGTAACATGTAACGGAATAATCATACAACTCACCATGGGTTGGGGACCCAGCTCAGACAACCTGGAGCCGTGTCTCCCTGTCATGCAGGCTGGAGGGCACAGAGCTCCGGCCCCAC